TGTATTCTAGGATGATAAGAAGGGATTGAGCCTTGACTTGGCCCGAAGGCCAGCCTAAGCTTAAAAGGGCAAGACGAATGCTTATGTCACCGTCAGACATCAAGTGGTCACATAAACGAGGCATTACCATATCTCCTAGACAGAACATATATTCAAACTACAGTAGGTCCGCGGAATGCCCGCGCAACTCTAAAGTCAGGCTGCCTGGAAGATGTACTAAAATATCAAACAGCGGGGCATAAGAAGACTATCGAATAAATCCTTCACCTATGGGCTTCATCAGGGTATTTAAGTCCATTTCCTATTGGGTCTGGTATTTCTTCACCTTCTATCCGCATTCTCAATCTACGTGAACGGGTATACACCAAGTTTGTGCGCATTTAAGTGAACGTTTTTGAAATATAAAAACAAACCAAAAATACTTGTGCCATTTTTGTGAATGAAAAAGACAGCAATTAATTATAGAAGAGTATAATAGTTGTCGAATCCATTGGCACTCATTCCCTACACTCTTCTAGCACAAAATGCCCGCAGAATGAATGGATTAACATTGAATGGTGATGAAGTCTCTTATCAACTAGGCGTAAATTTTTGTACAGCCTAGTATTGTATTTTGTAAATCCTCCCTGTACATGATTGACACTTTAGGAAATTTGGCGCAAAAAGGTTTGTCAGCGCAACTGGACCGCCCTAGTACGCTCTGAATGACTGCACAGCCGACATGGGCTGACTTTTGAAACTACAAATGTTTGCTAAGGTTGATATTTTCTCCCCATTAGAGTGTTTGTGCTCTCGGCCAACTCCCATTAGGTTTGCCGTCTCGATTCGATGTCCCAGGATTGCACCCCTGCCAAAATCGCTACTCGAGGAGTCACAAGCATCAATGAAAGATTGAGGCAACTCACGTGTGTTACTATTGGAGGGCTTGGAGGAGGCTGATGTGGAGTAATGGTTCGCATTTCCAACTGACACTGGTCTGCTAATTAGACTGGTAGTGCATACAATGACCAAATCGAGAGGTATCGCTGCTTCGCATGGGCCATGCCTTCTGCTTGCTAGCGCATGGAGCAACACCAAGGCGGCATGTTGATTCAACCGTTCCCATTTGATGGGAACGTTCTGGCATCACAGCTAAACTTACAAATACAATTCAGATTAGTAATTCACCTTTATTAGTCTGACGGTGCGCACTTTTTCAATTGTAAAGCTAAAATATTCTTTAGCTCAGTGCTGCTTGTATTGAAGAAAAAATTGGTACAACTCTGAGGACCGTGCTAAGGATATGTTGAGTCAAAACTGGTGAATAATGACTACCGACCTAATGGAAATTTGTCTTTCATTTCACTCAAACCACTGCCTACTATGCTAGGAAAAAAAATTGTGGTGACGCGAATGAACTCCCATGTGATGCCTAAAGCATCATGGTACATCCACTGCATTGCCATCACTTGCCTACAAGCAGTTTAGAAAGTACATAAGGTGTAATACGGTAATTACTAGCTTATCTCTTAGGTTCGGTAACGGAACACTAACGGTCCACGGGCAAACTGGCCTCTAGGCCACACCAGTAGCCTTTAAGTCCTGTGAGTCGACAATGCTCACCCCGTGCGAGGCACCACAAGGGCACCAGAAGTCGCGGTCCGCTGGCTGATAATGTATTTGTTACTTTTGGGTTACTATTGTGTGGAAACCCATTTATTTGGTAACTTGAAAAACCAGCCTCCACTGTTATCCAAATATTCTGGGTTGAAACGCATTAAAAATTCATAAATAATTTGTCACGTGTGTTCAGCGCATGTAATCTGTGTGATGCAGACAGAAACCAAACACACCCTAGCATTCATAAACAACTTAAATACCTTTGCGCCTGATGGTAGGAACTTCGAAATAAGGAGGGGCGTTTAAATTGACTAGATGGAACCTATTCATCGAAATGTGTTTTCAATTTTCGAAAGCAGTACCAATGGATATGAGAACTGCGCAATGCAGGCCTTCTAACTTCTTTTATTGCTTGAGCTCCTCTCACCTGCCTTGATCCGCATGCCTCTAGAAAGGTGAAATGCGTCGGCCGAGGAGAGCACAATGCATTTGAGTGCTATAAATAAAGGGACACAGAGGCATCTCGATAGAGGCGTGTTCGAGGCACGT